AAGTGGAAGTTCATTAAAATGTTGAAAAAATTGCCATCACAAGGAAAAGCACAATATCCTGTTAACAGTGTCAACCTGCAACTGCTCTGGCTTCTTTTTCTTCTTAATTGGATCTGTTGAATTCCCCATTCTGCTTAGCAAACAGCTTGGATTTGGGCAAATCAGCAGTTTTTTTCCAGTGGGGGGGACAAAAAAAAAAATTATCAAGAAATTCCCAACCATCCCAAATAACTTCCCAGATGTGGTGTTACCTTAATAAAGTTGTAGCCTATTTAAAACTTGTTTCTTGTATGTTGAAGTCCTTGCTGAAGTGCCAGGGGACAATCAGTCACCACTTGTACTCAATAAACTGGGAGATGATACTTCAGGAATCGATGCAGCTCTGCAGAGATTTGAAAGATGTGCATTTATTGGAGGAAGCAGTAAATAAAAATAAAGCCTCGCTGGGATTTAATTTCAGTACCCAATGGGTGAGTTTGTACTTGTGTGCATGTATAAATAACTTTATTATAAATAAAAATGCCAAAGGAAAGGGAAAATTGTAAACTTAGCAACTATTGACTAATTTGCAAAAAATAAGACCAATGTCATCAATTTGAACTTTGCTATTCTAATTCTGCATTCATTTGCATAAAATCCTTGCTGATTTGATGCAGATAATTCCTGACTCTCCACTTCATCAAGAAAAATCGATTTGTGGCTATTATAGACTAAATCAACATTTTCCTGGCTTTTGTTCCCCGCCCCAAGCTCCACTGCTCTCAGGGGTGAGTTCCAGAGGTGAGAGAAGCAATGCCTGGCACTGTGAGTACACAGAAAGTGCAAGGAATAATCTTATCTCAATATTGAATTAATACTATTAAAGCTATTAAAGCATTTTAAAGACTTCTTGGCCAACTCACAATTAACACTTCTTCAATCTTCTTAAATTATCAAGCACTATGAGAGTAGACAAGGTCATTGTTTTATCTGCAATAAAGTCAAAGGAATTGCCAGAGAGTCTTACACGTATAATTAACAGTGTGCAATTTATTCAATAAAGCTCTCATTTAATTACAGGAACCTATTACACTGAGTGATGCGTTAGGGGTGATTTATATCTCAGATGTAAATATTCAGAAAGAGGCCTCCCATAATGAAAGCAGCTGCTCCCTGCTCTCCATCCGTGTTCAACTTCAGTGTGTTGGTACAATATATTAAATATTGAGAAGAAATTCTTCCCTGTGAGGGTGTGGGGCCCTGGCACAGGTGCCCAGAGCAGCTGGGGCTGCCCCTGGATCCCTGGCAGTGCCCAAGGCCAGGCTGGACAGGGCTGGGAGCAGCCTGGGATGGTGGAATGTGTCCCTGCCATGGCAAGAGTGGAATGGGATGGGTTTTGAGGTCCCTCCCAACAATCCCTCCTGGGATTCTGTATGGATACCAGGCCCTTACAAGCTGGCAGCAATTATTTTGGGAAAATTTAGTGTTACCTGTTGAAATTATGGCTGATGCCTGCTTGGTCTTCTTCAGGAGTGTGGCCTGGAACAGCAGTCACAGACACAAGCTGGTGCTGAGCAGTGCCAGATGTTAAATCTGTTTTTGTTGGTGTTCCTTCCACCAACAGCAAGGTTTGCCAGCGATCCTGTGCTCTTTCTGCATCCATAAACTGTGAACCCACACCAATTTGCACTGTTAGAAATACAAAAGTCAGTTTGGTTTTCTTTTTTCTTAGCACGGAAAAATAAATATTCCTGATACTTGCTAATAAAGCGTTTCTTGTTGTGATAGGATTATGCACTTGTACCTTCCCTGTGCTCCCAGGGCCTGTCTGCCTTTGGGTTATCCAAAATCCAAAAGAGATTCTGCACAAAGCTTTAAACCCCAGGGCTTTTAAACTGAGAGGCATTCAGAGCTGCAATAAGTCACTGCCTCTGTGAGAGCTACACCTGTGCTGTTTTAGCACCAAAAGCACTGCAAAACACTCTATTACTTAAGTATTTTCCTCCACAGATCTCAGAGCTTTCACAAAAAAGCAGCTGAATGAAGCCGTTTATATGTGAACAGAACACATTTTTCAACATCCATTCCTCAAAAAAGCACTCACTCACGTTATCACAAATTTAAACAACAACAAAAACTTCAAACCCAGTCAAACCCAGCGGTGTCAGGCTGACAGGAGTTGATGACACTCATAAAAGGAACAGCTTTCTAAAGAGACATCTCTCTCGTGGAAAGTGTTAGCCAATTGATAACACAGGTAATATTCAGCACTCCAGATCTATGCTGATGTATAAAACTGCTGTCAAAACCACTGCCTTTATTGACATCAGCATGAATACTTTGCTCCCAAGGTAAAGACATTATTGTCAGGAGGAGCTGAAAACATTAGAGGAGCTATTTCTCAGTTTAACTATGTAAAAGTCTGTTGTTAAAAATCTTTACGAGTCTTTAACATCAGAAAGATTGTGGAAGAATCCTGCTCACAATAGAACGCCTCACTTGAAACCTCGAAAGGGTATTTTAAGTGGAAAAATCAGTGGATTGGTGGCACTGGTCGGTGGCAAACCCAGCTGTGCCTGCCCACACCACATCTCACACCCTCTGCACAGCCCTGCCTGGGGCTCTGGCAGGTTTAGAGAATCCAATGGAAGGAAATTTCCTCATGAGGAAACTACTCAAGAAGTGATTTCAAGAGGCCATAGTAAAAAGTCAATCCAGCTGCACAGATCCCATCACATGGAATATTGCAGCACATCCTGAGAGCAACAGGGAACTGTGGAGGGGCAGAACAAGATCTGCTGTGCCCCATCCAAAAATCGATGCATTTTCACAATCATACTTTCATTAAATGTTTTGAACTAGAAGGGACCCACAAGGAGCATCAAAATCTGACTCCTGGCTCCTGCACATGCCACCCCAGGAATCCCAGCACATACCTGTACAAAAAACCAAAAAACTTGCTATGATTTGGCAGAAAAAAACGAGTCACTGAATACCAAATCTACAAAAACGTTTCAATTTGCCACTGAGTGGAATCAAAACCCCGAGGATGAGCTCATGTCCCTCTCCTGCTGCCCTGATGTCCCCGTGCCACATCCAGAGCTCAGGGCCAGCACGTGCTGCCCTGTTTGGCCCCATCACTGCCCCCAGGACATCTCACCCCACTCAGCTCTTCCCTCTAATGCAATGTGACTGAGATGAAGAAACCTTCTGCTCTCCAGAGATCGATTCTCCTGAACCACAGCACATAATGAATATTTTACAAGCCATATAAATGCAGCCCTTTCCATTTTTCCTTTCCAGTTCTGCTGTTTGAAGATAGATGCTGGTGCTAATTTACAAAGTTCCCATCTCAGGAGCAGGCAGAGATTCCAGCCCCTCACCAATATCCCCCTCGGAGGTTTCACTCACCAGCTCCAAAAATAACACACCACTGTTTGGTGGATAATTTTGACAGAATACCAATTCCTGCTTAGCTGTAACAGCTGAGTATTAAAAATGTGGGATGTGGCAAGCACATTTCTCTCCCTCTCAGGATTTTTCATAGAGGAGCACAGAGAGAAGAAAGAGAAAACAATTTCTATTTCTGCTCCTTGTTTTCCTATGTGGAATGTGTTTAGAGAATTGTTTACCTGGGTTGATGGCTTGGTTGGATTTTGGTGAGGATTTTTTTGAGCTGGTGGCCAATCCAACCCACCTGGGGCTGGGCTCTCAGAGAGGGTCACCAGTTGTGTTAGAGTCAGAGAAAGTTATATGTAGCTTTAGTATCCTCCTTTTATAAAGTATATTAATGTATTTGAGCAAAGTTACAGTAAAGAAATAATTCAGCCTTCGGAATTGAGTCAGACATCGTCATTTCTTCCCATTGGGTCCGCCTGGAATATTCTAGAAAACACCTTCCTGAGGTCCTGGGTGTCAGCGACCTTTTTGTTGTGAAAACTCAAACTGCACCAACACTGCTGAGTGTGAAACCTTCTTTAAGAAGAAAATCCTCTCTATTATGGTTTAATTCTTTAGCATCCAGTGGTCAATAGCTAATATGCTGTCCCTTAAACGTGGCTATAGGGAATTAACACTCGGCACCTCCGGATCCCGCTGCAATGGCCCTTTGCTTTGGACTTCAAAGGCAATAAAAAAGTAATATTGAGATCAAAGCCTCCCAGCACAATCACACTTTTTGAAGTTTGCAAACCATAGAAATTGGAGGCATTTTAGTTCTCTGGCTCTTGTCATTTTTTTTGAACTCCTGAGCACTTTGAGCCACTGTTCAAACTTTTGATATAAACTCGTGTTTTGATGCACAAGGATCTGAAGATGCCAGGGAATTCCAGATTAATCCATGCTGACAGCAAGGGCCCTCGTTACCTTTCTATTGATTTTGCAAGGTCTGGAAAAAAACCAAGCAGAGTCTGTTTTAAGGCTTTCTTGTGGCACTGGCTGCATCCCACATCCAGTTCTTGCTCAATTAGCATGACATGTCCATGCTTGATGCTCCAAACTATAAAACTTCAGCAGCAAACATTTTGATCAGGCCTTGAAATCTGTATTATTTAGAGATCCAAAATCATATCAGACAGTGCTGTAAGACTTGAGTCAAACTCCTCTTAAAAAGCAAAATATGGGCAAAGCATGAGCCAGGCCTGAAGTGTCTGGAGGCTGTGGAACAAAAGCTGTCAGCATTCCTTGTTCAGAATTCCTGAAAGTCCCATTACAGCCCATGCTGAAGTGTTCAGTTTGGAACCTAAATTGCTTTTCCTTTAGGAGGGGTAATCTTTAGACGTGGCAGAGCACGTTGTTAACTTTGTGCAGAGGACTGTCCTGGGCAGGTAAAGTGATTTTAGGTCTTAGCAATACTCTGAATATCCAGGGTGCTGAAGGAGGGCGACATCCTCTCCCTACACTGCAGGGCCCTTGTAAAACAGGCTCTGTATAGCAATAAATCTGATTATTTTTGTTATGGTTCTCCCCTCACTCTCTTGCTGCTTCTGTTTTCTCTTTGAAGGCACTTGATTGTAGCATTCTCTGTCTGTTTGCAGCATCATAAAGTGAAATTCACTTCATTGATCAGAAGATGACCTCTATCCAGTGCCTCTTAGATTAGAGATAACAGCAGGCTGCTGTCTCACTGAGAAATAATTTCTTTGGCCCCTTTGGCTTCTCTTTATTATGATTGCTTCCTAACATATCACTTAAAAACTGGAGTGGAAAACAAATGAGGATATCTTCTCCACTGTTTGTATTTTGACTTCCCAACAAACACAGATGCACACACACTGCAGCACTTGGTGCACTAGAATAATTCATATTTTCCTGTGGAAGATGAAGAAAATATTTAACTGTAGACAAACGAGCTGAGGAAAGGGGTAAAAATGGATTGACATAAAACCTACATTTTGCCTGAGAGACTTTACGCTTTAAAGCAGGAAAAATGGGAGATGTACACTCATGTGAAATTTAAACTGTGCATATTCAGGAACAGGTTTTTAAATATCAGCAATAAAGATCATGTTGGAATACATTATCACATTCTGCACTGGAGCATGTGTTACATATTTATAACAAGGAAAGCGTGCAAGACTAATCATACACTATGAATAATGCCATGTTTTTCCAGGCAGATTTGCAAAGTGTTATCCCAGACATTCCCTTCTGCTGGGGGCAGGAGGAAGCAGAGGCTGCTCCAGCCCTCCCCACTCGGCTGCTCAGCATCCTCTGCAGGAGGATCCCACTGCCAAGTGGGAGGTGTGCGGTGACATTTAGAAAATAGGCAGAAATATCTGTATTATTTTGGCTATTTCAGGCCTCCTGCTCAGCTCAGATCTTCAGTTGGCAGCAGTTTGTTCCCAGGGCCCTGGATGGTGCTGCCTTGGCAAAGTGCTGGGATTTCTGGAGGGCTTGTCAGCCTCAGGAAAGCCCCTGAGCTTCAGTCTCACCATCCTCCACTTCTCCAGACTCTTCAGGAATAAAATGAACTGCTCTTTTCATCCCCCCAAAACAAAACTTCGAGTGTCTCAGACACTGGAATGGGCTTTTGACAGCTGACCTTATTATATCAAGTAATTTATAATTAAAGCTCCACAAATCCAATCGTGTCTGACACTAATACAGCTGAAATACTACATGAATATATAATTCAAACCATGCCACTTGTTATGAGTTGTTTGCCATAGCATGAGCTACTCAGCACCAGCTCTGCCCAGTCTACTGAGCTTTTCCTGCTTGATGCAAGCACAAGGAGCTTTCAAAAGACGGAGAGTGGAGAGAAAATGTGTTTATTCCTGGCTGTGGTGTGTTCCAGAGCTGCTTTCACAGGGTGCAACAACCTGCTCCATTCTCAGGCATCTTCATGGAGATTTCTCTGCAAGAAATCTCAGACTGGCACTAAAATCCCAGTTGTAGTTGGGATTAGAATCCCAATATCAAACTGGGATTTAAAAAAAATCAGCAGGAAGACAAAAGCTGGTGGTACTTCTGGCCCTGGGCTAGTGGAAGGTGTCCTTGCCAAAGGCAGGGCATTAGCAGGAGATCATCTTTAAGGTGTCTTCCAATCCAACCCATTCTGTGATTCCATGATGAATTCTTCAGGAAAAGAATGTGCTCAATGGGATTCAGGTTACCCATAAATATCCTCAGTCTTTATCAATATTCTGCACCAGTAGACAAAAAAGCTTTTGAAAATATTGATAGCACACCTAATATGAGCCTTTTGCACTTGGCTGGGCAGCTGTGACTTGGTTTAAGCTTCAACTTTGTAAACAAAATTTAACTTACCTCAAAACATGGCACGTTCCCAAGAGAAAAGAGCAGCTTTTACCAAAGGTCAGTCTCAACCATAGACTGGAATGGAATAAAGAAAGTCGGAGCATCCTCCATCTAGGAAAACATCATCTGGGAATCATCTCTCTTCTATCAAGAGGAGAGTCCTTGGGAAAGGCCTCTCCTCTGCTCTGGGGTTGAGGCTGTGCTATGGATTTGTTCCCTGACATCCTATGGAATGGGATTTTGGATTCTGAATTACCCAACACTAATTCACAAATTAATCAATGTTAATTCAGAAAAGGTGTTCAGCACGAACCTTTCTGTACACCCAAAGATGACACCAAGCTCCCTTGTGCTCCCTTTGCAAAAAGAGATGGATTAGTGCCACCTTCACTTCCCTCTGGGTGTGAGGAACCCAAATTCTCCCATGGCCAGAGCTGTTTTGAGCTGGCCAATCCACAGGGCTGGTGGCAGACACGTCCCAGTGCAGCTCTGCTGTGGTTCCAGACAATTTTACCCAAGCTGTGATTTTCAGAACTCCCAAAAACACCCAGCTAAATTGACAGACACATTTGCTGTGTGACAGTGGCTCTGTGATGCTAATATTGGCTGTTGCCTGACATTTTATATAACAACATTTATATAACAATTTCCAAGGTCTGTGGTGCACCACGCAATTCAAACCCAGCCCTTCCATTTGCTGCCCTTATCAACGTAAAGCTGCTGGTGTATCAAGTAATATCAGAGAAGATAAGTTATGCCACTGTTTATTTACAGTTTACATCCCTGCAGTCAATGTACCTCATGCAGGAATTGACCTGTGGAAGAACTATAGCAGCCCATTATTTGTGCAGCAGTAAAATTGATGGAAATTGATGATGCCTGAAAAACACACAATTATAGTGTCTTGATTAAAAATGGAGCACATTTCAATGAACTTTTTCCCTTCTCATGATTATGATACACAAGTACTAACATTAATGGTATTTTTTTATATAATGAACCATAAAATTACAGTTGGCAGTCAAGAGCACTCTAGCAGATAAGTAAGGCAATTTTCCTCATCATTTTTCCCTTTGTTGTCAATCTTGTTGCATAGCCCATTGCCTTTTCAATGAGCTGTAATGTGAATATTCAAGATCTTGCTTTTCCCCAGTGTATACATTCCAGTTGAAATAATTTCGTTTCATGGCACCCATTTTAGTATGTTTTATTAAGCAAAATTCATATTTTTTAGGTTTCCCATTTGTACCAGAACTTGCCTGGGCATTGACAAAGAGAATAATGACATTTAAATTGACAGGTTTCAGGCAGATCAGCAAAAGTGTTTCTTGAGCTTGCTGTGCAAACAGGCTTAAAAGTTTGGGTTTGATTTTGCTCTGACACTGCCTGTCTCTCTTTCCAGCAGGTTTTATGAAGTTTAGGCATGTTTAAATACTTACCCATGTAAGTATGACAATCCAATTAACTCTCAGTTTAGACCAAACCAAGCTACAAGGCACACGCACATTAGAAGTATTAGCTCTCCTATTAAAGCATTTTAGGAAATATTTACTTCATGCTATTTCCTGTGGTCTGGCAGCTTACAGCTCTTGACATAAATTATTATTGCTGCAGGATGAGAAATAAGTGAAATGTTGTATAGCTTCATCTGTGTCTTCCTTGACATAAAAAGACAATAAAAATTAATATATTATAGAGTTTTGAGTTAGGAAAAAGAAGATGTGAAGTGCTCTTGAGAGAAATTATCATTCTCACAAGTAAACAAGTGACTGTGGTTCCTGCCCATTAGTGTTGGGACTAAATAATCTTTAAAGACCATTCCAACCCTTCAACTTCCCATGATTCTATCAGATACTCACAGCTTCCTCTGGGTCCAGCAAGAAGGATAAAATCCAGGCTCCACTGAAGACAAAATTTGGTGGGTGTGGCTTCTCCAAAGCTTGCACTGCTGGGTGAGATGGATCTTTCCCAAAACAAGTTAGAAAATAGAACTCTTTTTGTGCCTTTGCTGCAGGAGCTCAGCAGTCAGGGAAGGAGATTATGCAGATAACTCAAGCATGATAAAATCAACATTTTATCCTCACAGTACAGTCATGAGAAACTCCACTTCTGGACATGCCCATGCTTTGTGCCCTTGACAGTCACTCTGATTTTAGGCTCCTGCAAACTGCCAGCTGTTCCCTGATTCCCACTCGGATCTCTCCTGATCAGCTTGCTAACATTCCTCTATTATTTGGGACTCACCAAGGGCAGATATTTTTGGTTCTTTATCCATTTAGAGAGGAAGAACCATAAAAGTAAATAATCTGTGGAACAACAATCCAAATTTAGGAGGGGAGCCTTATTTGCATTTTGGGTGTTTGTCACCATGTGAAACACAACATTTATCCTGGGGAGAGAAAAAGCCCTCCAGGGCCTCCTACATGGCTGATTTAAGTTTCTTACAGTTTTGAACTCGATTGATTTATGGCTAAATTCTGTAATATTTCAACATATCCAAATATCTTGGACTTCAACAGTTTTAAGCTTTACTCGAATAACCACACAGAAATCTATGGCTCATTAAGATTTCCAACAACACAGGACAAAACAAAAAGGAAGAACCAGCTTACAAAAAAAAAAAAAAANAAAAATAGAGAGACCTGAAAATAATCAGCAGAGTGAAAACGAGACATCAGGACTGAACAGCAGAGATTGGAGAGGGAAGTGCTGCGTTTTCAGGGCTGCAGCTGTGATTCACCCATTAAAACCAGAGCATCTGGCAGCCAAACAGCTGCGTGTGGGCTCAGGGATGAGCTGAGGCTGCCACTGAGCTCCCTCTCCTCCACGAGCTGCTCTTCATCCCAGAGCTGAGCCACGGATAAATCTCCCTGCTGGATAAATTTCCCAAGGCCCAGTACATGCAATCAACATTTTTGTTTTCATGTTCCCTCAGCAGCTGATTCCCACACGCTTTGGGTCTGCACAATTTACCTGAGACCTTTTCAGGCCAAGATGTTTTTTAAGGTTTGTGAGTTACCATAGAAAATGAGCCACCCTGGGATTCCCTGTGAACAGGGTCATTGTGAATTTGGTTTATTTGTTTGTTTCTTGAATAATGTGGCTTTTTTTCCCCCCCTCCCATAGGTTCCTATCTGCAAGAAAATCAGACAGGCAACATTTACTGACTCACAGCATCATTCTTCTGGAGAGACAACTGCTGTTAGAACTCCCTGGTGCTATTAATTCCCATTAGGAGAGAAGATGAGCCTCAGCCTTTGAACATGCAAAGTTTGCAAGAAATGGTTGTGAAGAAGTGAGGCCACCTTCCTGGTGAAAAGAAACAGATGAAACCTTGCTGGCTGCCTCTCCAGGAGGCTTTGGAACAGGGGTTAGTTTTATCCAATTTAAAGGGAACATGGAATAAACTCCAAGCACTCATGGTAATACTTACACAGCCGTATCAGCTTTAAGTCACACAAATTCCTCAGTTTTCTGCTCCAAAGCTGTTTCCTTTCCTAAAATGAAGGCTATAGATTAAGTTGAGCAAAGCCAATTTTTAGAAGAAACCACCAGGATGTCCTTGACAGGTAACTCCTGATCACTGAGTTGCAAAAACTCACTGCTAATTTCAATGGCCCAGATTTCAAGTGTAAAAGTTGGTTGAAAAACAAAGTCTATAAAATAGTGAAGACAAATAGCAATTAAATTTTGTTATGAGGTGTGAATAGTGAGATTTTTGTTTCTGATCTAGAATACAATCTGGTGAAAACAAGGAGTATGATAAAAAACCCCTGTAAGATGGCTTTTGATACCTGCCCGTACACATTTCACAAGCAGTTGTGGCAAATCCTGGCTCGGAGAGCTTGGAACAAGCTGTGGGGCTGAGAAATGAAGAGTGTCAGCTTTGCAAGGAGCTAATGTGCCACAAGGTCAAGGTTGACAAACCAGCCCCAGCCTAATGCCTCAAATATGTCCAGGGCTGCGTTAGCCAAGAAAGATAAATGAAGAAACTGTCAGCCAGCTCCAGTCTAAACAACAGAACAATTTAAACTGGAGGGAATCATAATCTGAAGCAATTTGTTTCATACTGTACCATCATGATAAAGAAAATCTCAATTTTTCGCCATCAATTTGGGGTGTAAATGGGAGTCTCAACCAAAAAAAAAACTTAACGCAGAATAAAAGTCACATTTCAAGGTATCCTTAAGGACAAGAGCCACGTTTTAAGCGCAGTGGAACAGCAAATATGAGAAAACAATTTTGGTTTGTGAGACTAAATAAAATACTGCCAGTTCTACTGTTTGGAGGGAGACAGGAAAATGAAATAAACAATGTGGTGCTCAGTAACAAGTCAGAACATCCTGGAAAACAAATTCATGCACATCCCCTGATGAGGTAAATCTGTTTCTATAGAAGGAGGAAAGGGACTTTGAGCTTGTAAGGGATCCCTAATGAGAATATCTCCTCTTTTGGCCACCCAGGTAATGAGAGCTCAAAAATCATGATTTCTCACAGAAAGGAGAAAGGAGAGCTCAAAAATCATGATTTCTCACAGAAAGGAGAGCTCAAAAATGATTTCTCATAGATTCACTAGCACTGGTTTTTCTCTTCTCTCAGAGACACCATAGGGGGCTTCTCCTTGAGCTACACAAGAAGAATGAGAACACACCCAAAGAGAAGACCCTGCAAAAATAAAGTGGAATAAATAGGTTGTAACGTGTACGTTCTGCTCCATAAAAGTGGTGAAGCAACAGTGTGTGATAAAGCCACAAAGTGAAAGAAATTGAAACTTAAAATTCTCACTGATCCACTCTCATTTCACACATCAGTTAGAGATTTTTATTTCCGCTCGTCTGGGAGTCTCATATCTTAAGATTTTTCTCTCCCATTTTCCAGCTTTTAATGGGTCTATCAAGACATTTGTATAACTCTGAGGAGAAGGTTATGCAAAGTTTGAAGTAAATTCAAATTGATTTTGAGTACAAGGCACTTTAGCTTAATATCCACCTCCCGCTCCTAAAACAGTGTTTTACCTCTTCACACTTCCCATCACATATATTTAAATAAAACACGTTCAGATCATGTTATGTTATAGGATGGACTTGGTTGAAGGGATTTTAAAGCTCATCCTGTCCCTCCCACATCCCAGTGTCCCAGGCTGCTCCAATCCCCAATATCCAGCCTGGCCAGGGCTGCCCACCCTCCCAGGGAACAATTCCTTCCTAATATCCAATCCTTTTATCAAATCTAATATTCCTCATAGGATAAATAATCCTGGTGATGCTGCAATGCCAATCTCTTGTGTTCATGAACGGTGATACTCATGCACAATGTTCCCGTTGCTTCTTTTACACTATGAAAATCTTGTAATAGAATATTTTTTAATGTATATTTTATCTTTTCACTGCTCATGTACTCACAGTACTGAAGCAATATCACAATAGGTACAAATATTTTGGGAGCTGGTATCATAAAAAATCAGAAGTAACAATTTCTTACATTATTTTCAACATTTGTTTCATTTCAGCTTCAAGCATAGGTTGGAAAATGACAAAAACAGTCCTTGACAAACCTGCACACCATCATCAATGTTTACAGTAAAGTTCTAGCTAGCATTAATGAAATCTATGAAATTACTCACATGTTTAATGAGATGCATGAAATTAAGCAGTTTTTTGGACTGGAGGAGCCCAGATGTGATGGAGAGAAACACCACAGGCAACTTCAAAACACTTGAGATGCTAAAATTAAATTTCCAATCCCCAGCTGACAAAGCTCACTCATCCCTGGGCTCTGACCTAACTGACATTTCCAGGTGCAACATCCATGCAGATTTTATAATTAATTCTATTTTCCTACAATTCTTCAAGGAAATTGCAAAAAGGGCAAAAAATCACTGACAAAACCTGAAACAAGAGAAGCAAAAAAGAGAAAAAAAAAGGAGGAAGACAGAGGAGTCTGCTGTGTTCTAAGCCATGCCTCACAAAATGATTTGGAGGCTGTGGTGGTGTAAACCAAGCACCACTATTGACAGAACAATGAGAGATGATCAACTCGAGCAGGGAAGGATCCAACCACTGCACATCACATCCCTCTAAGGTTACAGAGAGTGGAGTCTATAAAACCCAGCCTAAAAAGCTTATTATTTCTCAGAGGACACAAATGTAACAAGCTTCTCCTGATGGCAAAAATCCAATTATTGTAGTAAAGGTTGTGCTCAGTTATTTCTCACTTCATGTCAAAGCAAATTGTAAAATGAGGTGCCTGGGAACTCTGCTGCTCTACCTTTACTGGTACATAAACTTGCACTCTCCCTTTTTTGTTGTAGTTAGTAAGAAAACAGAAGGAAAAACTAAAGGGGAATGTCATCAAATACTGGCCAAGAATGTGATATATAGATTTTTTTTTTCCATTTTTATTTCTCAATAACTGCAAAGAAAAGTTTAGTGTAGATTGGATCAAATATATATTTTTCTTTGCTGACAGAAATAAAGTTATCTTCATCTCTATTGGATTTTTTTCTTAGATAGGAGTATATGTTAAACCAGTCCAACTGCTTTTTCTATTTGTTTGGCAGAGGAAAAGAAAAAATTCCACTCAAAACTAAAGGCTAAAGCAATTATTCCTGGCTATATCTTTGTTTTCTGGGAAACGGCAGTAGGGCTGGCGAGGAAAAATAAGTTATTTTTTTTTAGGAAATCACATACAGTAAGAATTGCTGAATTTTCTGCACTGACCATTGAAAATGATGGATGCCACAATTCTCCCCTTCAATCATAGAATCAGTGGGATTGGAAAAGATCTCAAAGATCAACCAAAGAGCACAAACTGTGCCAGATCCCCACCTTGTCCCCAGCCCTGAGTGCCACCTCCTGTCCCTGGACACGTCCAGGGATGGGGACCCCAGACCTC